AAAATTATATCCAACAAGTTAGGATTTAAATTAGGGCCTGATATCAAACATTCATTTAACGATTTAGCTCCTTCAGACTTAGAAGAGGCATCATAAACTATTCTTATTCTTGTTGTTACTTTTCCTTCACGTATAACGGGCCTATGAGGCATATAATAACAGTTAGGTTCATTTTCAACAAACTTACATTGTTCAACAATCCCCCTTTCAACTTGTTCTCTAATTATATTATCATATTCATTATATAGGAAATCATTTCCCTTTAATTTATGCTTTAGTCCTAGAAATCGTTGTTTAGCAACGAAAAAATTATCAGCGAGTTGTGATTTATTGTCCTTCCAAAAGAGTTTTGTTTCGTATCCTGCCGTTATTAAATTTTAAACTGTCGTTAAAATGCTTAATAGTATCCAAATCAGTTTCCGAAAATGTTTTGTTTTCATTTTCAATTCCTATCGAATCCAATTTCCAAAATGACTGCAAATCAAATGTGTTTCCTTCAACGGCAGATAAAAACAACGCATTAATTCGAGTATTATTATTTTTTACTTTACCCATCACTGTGTATCCAAATATGGTCGGTACTATAAACAAACCATCATTTATCATTGAATTACTTCCTGTTTGTATATACCAGAAATGCTCCGCGCCAAGCAGAATATTTATGTTCTCATTAACGGGACTTGTATCCGAAAGTTCCAAACCCTTTTTAGTCATAAATTCTTTAATGTTTTGACATGTTGATGGCGCCTGGAATTCTATTGATGATATTAATTCTATCCCGATAGCTTCTACAACAAGGCAGCGATCATCGTTTTTATTTTTAGACTATATACATCAAATTCTTGCGAGTTACCGCGCTGATTTCCAAACGAATAAATTGTTAGAAATTCTTTTCTAATGACTTGCAATTCTAAATCGCGCGCTAACTTGTGGGTGATGAAGTTTCGTTCACTACCTGAATCAATTAATAATCTTACGATTCTCGATTTATTTTTGCTTTGAGCAATAACAGAACATGTCTGTAAAAGCACACTATTTTCAGGTTTTAGAGTGTTACAGTGGGAAGTAGATACTAAAGTTTTATTTTGCGTATCTGCGGAGTTAACATCTTCCATTTCTTTCGATTTCAAACGGCAGAAAAGTTTATTATGATTTTTGTCGTTACAATTTTCGCATGGTTGTATTTTTGAATCCGACAAAACGACCGACAAATGTGATCTCAGAAAGCATCTGTAACAGCGACCTTCATGTTTTAATTTGTTTCGTTTTTGTTCGTCGGAAAATTTCAAACATCCGGCAGATGTATGTTCGTTTGATTTGCAGAATATGCAAAACATTTTTACCGATGTGTTAAAAGCAGAAGCTTGTGATTTGACTTTATAATTTTTGAACCCTTGTTTAGGATTAACCCCTGTGTATTTATTACCTTTTGAGCTATTAATCAAAATACTTGCTTCTCGGCATTCAGTTTCTATTTTAATGAACTCTATTAATTCACTTACTTCTATATTTTGGTTAGATGTTCTTTTTCTATGGAATTCAAGAGCTAAATCTTCAGGTAACAATTTAAGAATTATTGGGTTCAATAACTGTCCGTATGAACCGCTAGTAACATCTAAACTACTTAAATTTCTAACGCAGATTTGTAACTGATCATAGAGCTTTCTTAACTCAAAAACATTTGAAGAACTTTTAACTGGTTCTAACTGTAACAACATCTGCATGAATTTTGATATAATAACATCTTTACGACCAAACCTCTCTTCTAAACTTTTAATGCATAGATCATAATTTTCTTCAGATAAAGCATAACCAGAAACACAATTATATGCTGAACCAGATAATAAACTTTTCAAATATGTAAACTTATCTATTTTAGATAAACTTGGATTAGAATGAATAGCATTATCATACGAATTAAAGAATTCGAGCCATTTACTGGGATCACCAGCAAATTTTTCAATATTTAATTTAGGTAACTTTACTGAAGCACTACTTGTAACAACATTATTACCATTCAGAGTACTACTAATACCATTACTATACTATTACTATTACTATTGTAATTATACTTCTTTCAACAACTTCATTACTGTTAATTTTCTTTACTTTACTAACAATCTTAGCTTTAAACGTTATAATTTTTTCATCATACTCTTCACATACAAGTAGTTCGTTATCATATTCTTTTTTCATCAATTATGAGAGCATCGATCTTTGAGTCAAGAGTTTTAAGTTTCTCATGGTATTCAATTAACAATTCATATGATGAATTTAAATCTTCTAGATGTTCTTTACTTAATTCTTCCGATAATAATTTCTCAAGTTTATTTAGAAGTGTAGTAACTTTACTACGTACAATAGCACGTTTCTTTTTCTCTTTTGCTAAATCATCATCCATTATGTTTCGTTTTCAAAGATCGATACCAAGAACAAATAAATCAAATTTCTTACCTTTCAAAAGGTAATTCCCCTTGTCGCGGGTTTCAGACACCAAAAAAATGTGTGTGTGTCTCTCTTCATGAGTCATAAATTCAAAGATCGTTTCGTTTCAGGAGTCAAGGTTGGGAGAGCATTAGAATTTCAAATCAAAATTCAAGAGTTTCACAGAACATAGAAATAACATTTATTAACGATAAACTTATATTACTTATATTACTTCCGCCTATAGCGGCCATGAAACATAATCAAGCATCAAATAAATATGACATGCGTCATTCTTCATGTTCAAGCGTCAAGTGGAATATTTTTCATCGGCGCGCATCAAGAGCGCCACCTATCTACCAAAAAGACGGAACAGAGGGGTTTTTTAAGAAAAGGACATTTTCTTTTCTTTAAGATTCATGTAAGATTAATTATTCAGTAAAAATTATTTACTAGATTATTTTTAGAACAGAAAAGATTTAAATACCTCTCATGCAAAGAAATACGAAACCAGATTCATTTGATTAAATTAACACTAAAACTACCCTTACTTCATGACGATTTTGTAAAAAGAATTTCAAGATTCCTGTGATTTAAAACTCCTAATAATATTTGCTGCTTATTTCTGTTTCTTTCACTGATTTGAACTTCATTCATGGCTTCTGAATAAATAATTAGCTATTTTTGACTAAAGGTAAGTTCGAAATTCTGTGTAATGCGAGTGAAATTTCATGCTATTACTCCAAACAATATAATGAGTGTTTACAATTTAATCTCTGCTACTTGCTGGTCTAAAATCTACTAAGCTAGCATAAAAGCGCAAAAATCAAAGTATTTAGCACATAAATTCACAAAATATATTTCTATCAAACTTTGACTTAATAAAATTGGTTCTACAATCTCGAGCAAACTCAGCTACCAAAAGATTAATGCACCTAAAGTAATTATCAGAGCTAGGAGAAGAAATCTCAGGGCTAGGAAGATCCACTTCACTGAAAAAGTTCTCCTTTTTAACTTTTAAGGAATTTTATATTCAAGTAATGAATTTGTGTTCTGGTCGGAGCTAACGCAAGTAGATGTGGCAGTATAGATAAGATAATGAGTTAATAAACAGAAACCTTACACATGTATAAATATTTGTTTAGGAATCAACTTTGATTTTTTAACAACAACAGAATATTTAATTAAATTAGCATTTAAAAAATTATTTTGGAATAATTAACAAAGTCGAAAAAAATCTGTTACTTTAAGACGCTATCGATTGTAAGAAGCCACTTCTTCTCAATGACAATTGTTTGGAGGAAAATGATTCACTTTACAATTGAAGAAATATTATATGAGATTGGACATAATGCTATTACATGCTTTAAAAGGTTTGAATTTAGGAAGGTAACCGTATTTTACTTAAAATATACATCATTAATAGCTCTAATCTTACCATTATAAGTTTCTCAATTTCTGTAATCAGCTTTCAACGTTCTGTTTTACTCAGATTCGTGGAAAAACTGGTCGGTGTTTTTTCATACGTATAAATGAAGCTTCAGACTACAATAGTTTCAGAACACTATAACTATTCTTAGTAAAAGAGGCTAATCAAGTGACCTGAAAAAAAATTTCAGTTGAAACATTTTGTCTATGATAGCTCATCATGAGTAGAGAATTCGGTATTTACCTTTAAAAAAAGCATGTTAAGGGTAAAACGATGACATCTAAGCATTAAGTGAACATTTTCTTATTATCTCACTTCTAATAAATAATATATCGTCTAATAAATTGAGAAACTATTCAAATAAATTTATGTCAGTCTTCACTCTAAATTTTAAATAAAACTTCCTGAATAAAATGAAAAATCTTAAACTTAGAACTCAGTATCATTTCAAAGACCCACCAGCAACTGAGTTCGAAAACTGTTGAACACTCGCAGTTCTGTCCGCAGTTTGAGTCCCGTTGAATAGGTTGGCTTCGTCAATGTTTTGGTAGTTTTCCTGCATGTGTAACGTGGACACAAGCCAGTTTCCCTTAAAACGTCCTCCATGTGGTATCCGTCCCTTTCCGTGTAGTGCCTAATATCGACGCACGTAATAAATGAGTAAAAAAAAATATTTTCTGTGTAGATAGAGAAGATATTGATTGCATTCATTTCAATCTAATATCTTAAAACCGGCAGGCAGATAGCCCTCAAATGCTTTTTCATTTAACCTAACCCATGCTGTTGAAAATGCTAAAGAGTAGTTTACTTCATCTTTATTGGAACCGGTCGCCAGAAGTAAACTTATAGGTGATTAGACATCAAGGAAATCATACGTTTTCAGTACTAATCTCTTCAATGTGTTTCAAATATCTAGGTATTTAAAATCACAATAGCATCTGGAAAATATCCATTGTGATTTCAGCTCTAAATTAAAGACCTTTTCAGCACATTTTACTGCTGTTTGTTTAAAAGAATTTATCAGATTTTCTTTCTGATCACTTGTAGAACAAAATTTATGTAAGTATGATTCGTGAAAAGTTCTGTAATGCTGATAATAGCAGAATAACATATTCGAAATTAACGCAGCTGTGATATTATGTTTCAGAGCTCAGCCGCATTGCAATGCAGAATCCCGACTTGTTCGGAGGTGACATGGCCGGAATTGATGGTCCAAATGTAAGTGCCGTTTTAAAATATCTCATTCACTTCAAATATTTTTTTTATTTATCAAATGCTTTCGTTTGGCTACTAAGCCATTAGACAACGGGCTTTTCTCGGCAATTAAAAGCAGATACTGCAGGACTTTCGTCCAAATGTAGAGCAGCCATATCTTGCTCGCTCATACAAAGAGAACACCTAGGACAGTCCACAATGTTAAAACAAAGAACATGAGCTCGGAGTCGATCGTGCTCAATCAGCATCCTAAAATTTGCAACTGCAGCCGCACGATGTGAATCAAGAACAAGTTATCTAGAAAAAAATACATTCCAAGGTCTGCCATTCGAAAGATGCAAAGTTGCATCATGAAGAAAGCAACTAGAAATCCTAATGTATTTTCAGTTTAGCAGAATGGGATCGCAATTTTCCAAGGATTTTGTAAAGAACAGAAGATCCTTTCTTGGCAATCCAAGAATCACTGCTTCTTTTGAGGAACGGTATTTAAGACACTCAGGTACCTGGGCGAACATTATCCTAAAACGAAATATACAAAGCTTCGAAACAGTATCTCAACTAACTAAGTATAAAAAAGTAGTTAGCATAAAAAATATAATAATCTTACCCACATCAAAGAGTAAATCATACAGGCAACTGCACGCATTACATCAGAGATTCTTCCCAAAATATGGACTGAAATGAGTAGAAAATGAATATCATTATGACCTGTGTTATGCCATTAATGGTATAACTTTGAAACTTATTAAATTTTTCTCTGCATCTTATAAAATGACTGAATTAAATAAAAGCGTTTTCAATCATTTTCATATAAAACGCACTTCCCAGACTTCATGAATCCTCTATTTCATTACTAAAGAACCCCAAAATTTTTTGGTTAACTTTTCAATACTATTTGGTATAAGCACTGACTGACAAGAAACATTTTTGATACCAATCTACTAATCAAAACGTATATTTCAGGATCCAGAAAGAAATGCCATTCCACAGACAAGATACCGATGGCCTGGAGCTAAAGTTCCTTACGTCATCGATTCTTCCTTATGTAAGTTTTTAGATCTAAGAACAAGTTATTTCTTTATTAGACAGGCATTTTATTAATACTTAAGTATTTTTTCCTTTTTACGATAGAACTCCATTCATCCGTAGCTTGTTATTGATTCCTTAACTTTTTTTTCATTTGAATGTTATAAAAAGTATAATTTTAGAAGTTATTAAAATTTAGAGGAATCTATACAACACATGAATATTGATCTATAAATTTTGTAAAATGTGTAACCTGCAAAAATTTAGGGAAACTCAAATAGCTGGTGTATATTAAGTCTTTTGATCAAGTTCAGGCATTTTCAGAAATTGATTAAACGAAAATGATATCGTTATGTCAATAATAATCTCAAATAAGGAACAGAATTTATTTACTTACAGTACGATAAATTCTCTGGACTGTAGGAAATCTTTGGATATTTCGAACTTTTTTACAGATTATTTTGTTATTTAATAGTATGTTTCGAATTCTATTATTGACGTATTTGTGCTGCAGGCAATGAATGAAAACCAGTCATTCTGTAAAATGTCTGGTCTTTGGTGTCAAAAAATAAAATATCCGAAAATTTTAACTTAATACGTACATTTCCTAGACATTATAGCGAATGCAAACGTTATTTCAGCAACGTATTAAAAAAGGATTATAGAAAGGCTTTCAATAAAAGGATGGGATGTAGATCTCGATAGCAGTAATATCTTTTTAACTGGATAAATCAGTTTACTTTTGTTTCTGTTATAGCGATTCAGTAGCCTATGTTCCCATAGCTCGTGTTCAGTAATCATACTGGCCTTTACCTCACTAACTTTCGGATGTAGTTTCGCTACATCACATTGTTTTCTGCAGCATTGGCTCTCATAAATTCATCAAATAATAACGAAACTTTATTTTGCCATTTAAATCAAAGGCTTAAACCTAATTAAATTAAAACACACAGCACTACCATGCACTATTATATTAAAACACACAACACTTTCATGAAAAAATGGCAATAAAATTACATAAAGCAAATAAAAAATTAAATTAAATTTTTGGTAACTCAAATATAGTTCTGGATATAAGCTTTCCTACCTATTTTAGATAAAATTCAACTCTCATCTACCAAACTCTGTTAGCTTGTTGCTAATGGCAACACAGGCAGGAAAATAACTAACGGCATGTAAATTGTTGAATTGAAAGTAAGCTTTCTAAATCGTAATAGCTGTAATGTATACAGCTGTTTAACCAAAATGTAACTAAAACTTTCAGGATTTTCACTTCATAACCATGGTGGTCCGAAAGACCAGAACAAATTCGAACGGCCGCTTGTGAGCATGAGATTGTTCCCCCCCCCCAAGGTAGCTCCCATGCATTAAATTGCCAGTTTAATAATGTGTATCAGCCACCTGTCTCCAAAACTTTCTGTAGATGGCAATGGACCGCGTTCTAAGTTGGAGCGTGGGAATTCTCAAGGCAATTTCCCCCAATCCCCTATAAACATTAGAGTCGCCGACAAATTTAGTAACTTATCGAGCAATGCTCTGTAGCCACAGCCCTAGTAACAAGTCAGTAAGTCGTAGAAACTCTGAGCAACCTCGAGCGAGCGAGGAAAAGGACATAGTAATGTAAGAGAGAGACAACGCTGATGGAACGAGACGGCTTCCGTCCTAATGCGACCTTAATGGCGCCTATCGGAATTAAGAGCCGTCCCGCCCTTGATCAATCAACCCTGTTGCGACCCCACAGAGCAAGAGAAGACAAGGCAGTACCAGTATGGTCCCTGCCGAGCCTTGCTCTGTCCCGAGAGCCCTTAGTGCCTTCTTAGTGCCCTTCTTCACAGAAGGGCCCGAGAGCCCTTCTGTGAAGTCTGTTATTATGCCCTCGTGATTGAGAGTGCCTAGGTACAGATCCTAACCAGGACTAAGGCGTTCGCCTGAGTCAACCCCCGGAGGGGGGGGTTAAGAGAGGGACAGAAAAAACGGATTTCCTTTTACGAGAAAAGTTACTCGTAAAAGGAAATCGTTAAATCCTTTGATCTCAGATGTTTCCAGCTGTTGGTGAACTATCTAAGTTGAATCTGCATCTGCAGAACAAAGGAATATTTATTCTGTATATTATCTACATATGGTCTAGAAATTCAGTAAGGAGGAAACGCTACCCTGTCTTCTTTGTGGAATCGCTATAATTTGTCAGCAGTTTAAACCTAATTGTCACATGGCATATATACATTTACAAAATTCCTTTTTATTACGAAAGTGATTTAAAACATAAAACATAGGAAAAATGGGTAATAATACTGTAATAAAACTTTTTTCTTGATATTAATCATCTCATTTTTACCCTTTAACAGCTACAAAGACAGATCTCATCTTGAGAGGAATGAAAAACTACCATGATAAAACATGCGTCAAATTCGTTCCCAGGACCGTTGAAAAGGACTACATCAGAATCTTCTCGGGACAAGGGTAATTAAAAATTACATTTCAAATGACGTTTCGTATGAATGGCATCAATCACAAAAATCATTATGTTGCCTCACAAAATAGCTAGCAACTAACTTATCATCTTTTGTTGAAAGTAGCATTCAATAGTTTTTGGGATTCCCATATAACTGAAAGAAGCAAGTTAGCACAAAAATAAAAACTATTTTAGTGGAAATATAGCACTGAATTGATTGGAAGATTTTCACTTTTCAACAATGTGTGTGAGGAATATCGTTATAATAAATATTATAACTAAAAGATATTGAGACAAACTGGCAATACAAAAACTCATACATAATGCTCTAGCGGAAAAGATAAACTATTTAAGCTTCGGATTTACATTTGGCAATAATTTCTACAAAGGGAGCGTGATATCCTGATATAATCGATTCTTGACACATTTTGCGTTTTACTTTTTATTAGTTGCAATTTGCATCTTTTTTTTCCCATTTGAGGAGAAAGAGAACAGAATGTAAAATGTATCTATATTCTTGTTACATACAGTTTACAGTTTAATGTAGTTTAACGAAGCAGGAATTGTACGGAATTTCGCTATATGTGAGGGCTGCATGGGTACGGAATATTTGAAAACATAATGATATTTTTAGCAAAATTATGATATTATAAGTTATGTATATAAAAAAGCAAAACTCCGCTGCACAAACAGCCCTTAGAGAGTCATGGCCGGCAGTGCCCTGATATCTGCTCTCTGGACCGTGGGCTCCGGGATGCTTGTGCACCTTGCCTGGACAAGTGGTCAGCGTGTCGCAGAAGCCCCGGTGTTTAGTCCCAAAGCAAACTTGGTACCCAATTCATCAACCCACTCAAGGGATGAAAGTCTGAGTCAATCTTGCTCAGCCCGAGGATCGATCCCCAGACCTGTGGTGCTGCTGCGCGACGCTTTTATGTATATAGGATACTATATTAAAATTAAGAAACTCTTTGCTACATAATTTTATTTACTAAACATTAAATTATAATTTAGAAAACTGAAATTTATTGAACAGCAATTTTCTGGATTCAAATTAGATTTCCTTTTCAAAGAAATTAATTAAGGACTCAAATTCTATTTTTTCTTGTGGACCAAAGTCAAATTTGGTTAGTATATACTCTAAGACGAAAATAAATATATAAACAAATAAAAGATGCACCAAGAAAAATTAATCTGAATGCAAAGGATTCGATAATTATTGATAAATGCATACTCAAAAAAAAAAAAAAAAAGAAGTGATTTAAATTTCAAAATAACAGAATACTTTATTCAGGAAACTGAACAGCTTAATAAATCAGTAAGGTGTTGGCTCACCTCTGAATATTAGGCATACTTTTCCGGCTTGACACTAACTCATAGAGTTAATAGAAGACCTCGTGCTGGATTTCTTTCTAAACTCTCTACACCTATCGAGATGGATCGGTGACATCTTGGGATGGTATATGAAGATTTCTCATCAGATCTAAAACAAACTCTACTGGGAAGAGATCTGGCTACTCAGATGGCCAGGACAAGTAATGAAAACAATCTGTAGAATGAGTGCTGTGTTTGGTAAGACATTACTTCTTGAAATGTAAACCCGCCGTCTTTCAAAAGAAAAGCAACGTGATGCTACGTATAATATCAAGCATGTGTCGCCGTACTTTAAATGTGTCAGAGATGACAAGCAAATGGGTCCACCTATAAAACTGAATGACACCCGAGATATAACACCCTGCTATCGGGCTGTGAGACGGGAAACAACCAGATCAATATCCCACCATTCCCTCGGACATCCCAGACAGACATGCCTTCTCAGGTCATCGTAGCTCAGTTCGAAGCCGGTATGGTCGAAGACAATTCTACTCAAGGCTGACGCTTTAAGGCTGACTCAGCCACTTACACCGACGATAAATTTTATAAACGGCTAGAATGCGTAGCCTCAACTAAGAATAACAGCTGCAGGAAAACGTAGCTGACGTGAGCTATACTAGCGAAATCACACTCCGTCTAATCTTCTCGCTTCAGCTGTTTAAATACTCAAGGAGTATACTCAATGCAAGGGGAAATAAGAAGTTCAGGAAAGGTACCAAAATTAAAATAATTGGTAATTCAAATGAAGGGAAACTCTGCATATTTACTATCTGAAAAACACCTCATAAAAAATGTCAAAGATCTGGAGGTAATGATATACTGGCATTTTATGTAAAGGAGAAGAATAGAGTAATAAAAATTGAGAATCGCTGGCATAGAGACTTCCCGAAATACACTAGCGTCGTTCGGATTATTGTTTTAATGACAATATACAATATAGAGTCTAAAGGAATTTTGTTAATTTGTTAAATTGGTCCTCTAGCAGATGATGGATACAAATCGGTAGTCATGATAAATTATCTCATTTAAAGTTCTTGAAATATGTTAAAAAAATGTTGAAAACGCAGAGCGTTCTTCTTCAAAACGTCTTTGATAACACTTCAAGATCAAAATGTTTGTAAAATAAAATTCGAATATCAATACTAAAGTGCTTTAGATAGACTGAATCGATTTTAAAATCAGACGAACAAAAGCGATCTCTTGGTGGAGCCAAAATATTGGGAGCGTGACGAAAGAAAAACCTTAGCTTCCGAATGTGATGAATCATTTCAAAAATGTTAAATCGTAGTCGCCGAATCAAGTGTGCATGATAAACTTAACATCGAGAAATAATTACTTTTGTTTTTAGTAAAACAATCATTTTGCCATGAGGATAAGAATTAAAAGTATCACAATATTCCATATTAATGTTTGTTTATCCTCTCAAAAGTACTGGTGATTTCAAAGATCAACATCATAGACAGCGAGTTTACTGTAGATAGAGATTATAACTTCGTCTACGTTTTCAATTAGAAGCAATTCCGTAAAAGTGCCAATTAAAGCAGTTTGGTGGCAGTTTCCTGGTATTTTTTCTTTTCAAAAGTTTTATTGAAAACTCGAAAGCAAGTAAGACGAAAGCAGCCAATCTATAACTTAGACACTAACAATCTTAGAAAGGGTTAAAATGTATAAAAATAAACTGTATTTTTGAATATAAAATGCAAAACCCATGCAGTTTAAAAACAGTAAGTAATTCAAAATAGTTAGTTAACAAATTGTTATATCTGTAAGTCTCTTGATTATGAAAACAATGAAAAAAAGTCGCCCTTTACGTATGTAACTATTTTTTTTCTATTTATTAGCTCTTTTTAGAAATTAAGTGAGCAAAAAACATAATTTATGTAAACTCTGGTCTAAGTGAGATCTGAAGGTGTGGAGTTGTGGTCTAATTTTTGCATTAAAAAACTGCAAGGCACTGAAAAATTTTGCTTACATTTAATTCTTCTCTCTCTGGTAGTCATTAAAAAATTATATGCTATTCGAATATATTTTCCCTTACGTTTTCCTATTCGAAATATCCCAGTTCTTTTTGATGCCTTGACTCTCTTTCAGAGTTAATTTTTATGGGATTCTTCTTTATTAGGAAAGACATTTCTCCCTTTCAAAAATTATGTAATAAAAGATATAAAAGTAACTGGTTTATAGAAAATTTTGGAATCAGAGTCACTTATTACTTCTCGCATTCCGGTAGCATCTTCTTTTTCTTGCATGTAGGTTCAGTTAGTTTCGCCATTCTCTTAGTAATTAAAATTTTACTGGTTTTATTAAAAGTTTCATAATCTTTGCTATATCAGATTTTGATTAAAAACACTCATGAAACTAAAAACGATACGAGAATTTCAAAATAAGCAATTCTTCTTTCTTTTATATTACTCATGAAAACATTCATAGGTTCGCTACTTAAAATTAACTCAAGCTATATATAATGTTTTCATAATACAATGCTCCGACAGCACATTTAATTTGTCATAATGCAAATATCCTGTCAGTTACTAGATACACTGACTACCAATAAGTATTTGGACACCTGTGATAGAAAAGAAAAACTAACTATATTCAAAATCAATAGTTGGTAGAGCCTCCACGAGAGGTAATTACAGCGTGGGGGCACACGAGAGGTAATTACAGCGTTACCTCCGGGGCATACTTTCCGCAAGTCTTTGTATGACAGCTAGTGGTATTTATTTCCACTCGGCTTGGAGAAGACATAGAAGTTCCTTCACCGATTTTGCACGGGTAGTGCACCCCTGAATTCGGCGATACAACTCGTCCCAGAGGTTATCGATAGGGTTCAGGTCTGGACTCTGGGCAGGCCAGTCCATTCGATGAACATTGGCACCATACCTTGGTTAACGTCGAACTTGACTGTTGGCACAATGCATTCTGGCAGAAGACGTTCTCCAGGTAGACGCCAGACCCAGACTCTGCCATCCGAACGGTAAAGGGTGAACCTTGATTCGTCACTCCCAAGAACCCGTTTCCACTGATCTACGGTCCAATTTCGATGTGCTTTGCACCACATTAAACGAGCAGCGCGGTTGGACTTTGTGATCAAAGGCTTAAGGGCAGCAGCATGACCATGAAAACCAAGCAGATGTGCTTCCTTACGGAGGGTATTCATTGAAACAATACTCCCGGATGCCTTTGAAACTCCTCGCGGATGAGGGCCATCGGTTGGGTGCGGTTCTTCCGAATTTCTCTGGACAGCACTCGTCGGTCTCTATCTCCCAGTTTCGCTGGTCTGCAGACTCGGGGCACATTCCGACAATCACCGCTCACCTTCCACTTCTTAATCACATAGGCCCCTGTCGATTTTGGATACTTCAGATCGCTAGATATGCCCCTTAAGGATTGGCCACATTTGTGATACTCGATAATTATACCTTTCTCGAAATCAAAGAGCTCCGAACTACAAGGCATCTTGCATGCGACTAAAGCCGATGCTGTTTCCTACACTATATATACCGGCGGAGTCCGTAACGTACCTTAGGACCACAGATATCGTCACTTGCATAGGTGTCCAAATACTTATTGGTAGTCAGTGTATAAGTTCACTGGGTGTAAAATTTGCTTTAAATCTGTGAGACTTTTCGGGTAGAATTTAAGCAGTAACGCATTCACCATTATATTGTTATACGTAATTTATTAAATTATCGGAAATAAAATGTTAACTTTTCATTAAAAAAGGCTAGTTTTCACAATTTACCGATATTAAAATTTCCGACTCTAATTTGTCTTTTTTTTATGCTATTATTTCTTACTGAATGCTAATCCCAGTACCTTCTTAAATTTACAATGACTTTTTTGCTAACAAAGTTTAGTAGATTTAATATTTTTCTAGTCCTTTAGATTGTATTAGTTAGAATACTTCCAGTATTTCTAGATACTTTTAGACACTATTAGGTAGGTACTATTAGTTAGAATAAATGGAAAGTACGCTTGTTGTTGATTCATATAATTGAAATTACCCTTATTGGTATGAAGTCTTATGTAAACAAATGTGCATTTTTTTGTTATTGATTATACATAAGATTTTTATCCAACAGGTGCTACTCTAACGTTGGAAAAATTGGTGGTCAGCAACCAGTGTCTTTGGGTGTTGGTTGTCATTATGTAGGAACAGTAGTCCACGAATTAGCCCATGCTTTAGGATTTTACCATGAACAGAACAGATCAGACAGAGATCAGTTCCTTGTAATATATTTGGAAAATGTCCGAAGAGGTAAACTATAATTATATGTTTTAATCTTTTACTTCCATATTAAACTATAAAATATAGATTCTGTTACACGTAACATAATATTGCCGCCTTCGTATGGATTCTTAATGGGTTAAAAGCACACAGAAACGATGCTAGCTCGATAAAACTACTGTTGGCCATTAAAATTGCAACACCATGAAGGAAAGCAAATAAAAAAAAGATATTTATTGCATGTAAACAGTATGATTAAATTTGTAAGCAACAGGGATGCGAAATTAGTAGAAACAGCTAAAACATCCTGGCAGCTAAAACGGCCCTTACACCATTAGGCATGGAGCAAAACTGGGCTTGGATGACAGGAATGGGCAACTCATTCCATGCTGCTTCAAGTCCATGCCACACTTCATCAAACCTATTAGCTCGAAAGGGGTGATGGGCAACTCATGACCAGATGTTTTCAATAGATGACAGATCTGCAGACCGCGCATGCCAGGGCAGCAGTCGAATAACCTGTGGATCGAGAAAGGCCAGAACACGACGTACAATATGTGGTCTTGCATTATCCTGTTGGAACAGGGCGTTTGGGAGACTCGAAGATAGGACACAACCACTGGACGTAAGATGTCTGAAATGTACCCATCTGCGTTCAAATGACCGTTCATCCGAACTAGAGATGTGGGCGTCGTGTACTCAATAGCTATCTATGCAAATATAGAATTCAAGCAGGCAACGTGCGGTCTCATCGGACACTCCAGACATGTATACGGGGATCAGAATACTGCACGTAGAACCGTGACTCGTTTGAAAAGGCGACATTGTGACATTCCTGTACCCAGCTTTATCGTTTGGCGCACCAGAGTCACCGTCTCTCTCTATCTCTCTATACTGCATTGTTAAGGGAAGCCGAAGTAATGGTCATCCTACTGATTGTCGACTGAAAACGTCGACGCACCTTACGAGCTGATACTCGGCGTGCTGCAAACATACCCATTTCTTGACTAATGGACATGATGCGGTCGTACGGTTTTGCAGAGCAGACCTCGCAATGTATATCTGACGTTAATCAGAGAGGACGTTGTGATCCTGCATACCGTTCAGCATGACCCTCAGCAATCCATTGATTCCGTATTCAAATGACAATGGTTGGGTGTCGACTAGTGCTACCGGCAATATCACGGAACGATAATCTACACTTTCGATAGGCAACTATCCTACCTCTATCTAGTTTTGAAACTTGCTGGTAAGCATTATTCGAGGCATAACACGATATTCTGAGCAAACTCCAACCTTACAAAGTACATTCTGAATGAGAAATTTACTACTTTTTAACTTTTCTTTTATGTCGTTTCTCCCTCCTGTGTCGTCTTAAATGAACTGAAACACTAATCATTTCCGTATCCCAAGTTCTTCTTCCTTTCATGTCATTTTGACGTTCATCAGATCATTCCGTTCAAGGAACACTTTATAGTTCTGGAAAGTTCCACAAAAGCACCTTGATACAGATCATCTCAGTATCAAGGTGCACAATCAGTAGTTATACTTCAAATAACTAATAACGGTTAGCAAATCGGAATGCAAAACACATCTAACAAGGCGAAGCTCTTACAGATGCCTCAATACTCTTAACAATTGTGGAATGATGTTATGTCCGATGTTATATAGTTTTCCTTCAGCCGTCCAGAAATCTATAGTACCTTCCATTTCTCGAAATTACTGAAAGGCATATACGTTTAAAGTTACATATGGGGGCCGGATGCAGTTTCAATTACAAATAGGGATCAATTACAGTTCAGCTACAGTTATACAGGAACCGGACTGAACTGTCGAGAAGTGGTCTCCAAGTTTGGCAACTTATCGCCAGCGTGGCACTATCTCAATAGTTTACCGAGATAGCTATTTACCTCGATGTTAAATAGACTTGCCTCTATACTTTTACTTTTCCAGCAAAGCTTCGTTTCTTCAGACTTTTCATGTTATATTATATAAAAGGTACTACAATTTCACTTGTAATTTCACTAAAATTGTTTACATATATACAAAATTCTTAACAGTATATACATTTCCTTTGCCAGGAATGGAGTCAAATTTCGTGAAGCTCTCCTATGCGCAAAACTTACTGCTCACCCCATTCGATTACGACTCTGTGATGATCTACGGAAACAAAGCTTTCTCTAAAGACGGCAGATCGGATACAATGGTAGCCAAAAATGGGCAAAGACTTCTTGATCCTTATTATAAACAAGGAATGACCAAATCTGATATCACTCGGGTTAAGAAGATGTACAACTGCTAATTTTAGAACTTCTATTGCAGTCTTTTTGAGTTCTATTCTATTACAAGAGTCTATTCAGAGGAGTTTGAATGAAACCGCTTAACTGATTTTTTCATGCATTTCTTTTTTTGTATAGATTTTTTGGAATAAAATAAAGGATTTTAAAATTATGCTCTCTATCTCTATGTATTTAGATACACATTGCGTGTCCTTTTTGTAATGGTATGCCAGAAAATCTACTGAATCAATCAATTTCTTTGACCGTATTCCGTCAGCAGGATAGCTGACCAACTATGGTTTGTTTCGTTTATTTGATTAACTGTCACTAGCAAGAATGTGACCTGTTTTGTTCATGTCTTTTCCTACAATCAGCACATATCAGTTGGATATATGTAAACAATTACTGATCATCAGTTCTTTACTTCTGTAACAGTAATTCAAAACAGAACCATTTGTATTACTGTAATAGTAAGTAATACAAATGGTCACAAATACAAAAAATAATATTTCATTTCAATAATTAAAATTATTTTTCATGTTATAAACTTATCAGACTGATGTTTCTTAATTTTAGTGTATACAAGATGCCTATTAAGATCCTTACGTAAGGATCTTAGGACCTTACGTAAGGAAGATCCTTACGTAAGGATCTTAATAGGCATTTTGTAATTTTCATAACACGTATTCATGATACGCATTCACGTATTCATACACGCATTCACGTTCTATTTCTAGTTACGAAAATTGTTACACATAAGCCTTCATTCAGGTTTTGGAGATTTTAAAATTTTTAAAAAATTCATTTTTTGTAAAATTAGATAATGTAAATATTATACAGTCTTCCTATCCTTAGTTATACTTAGTACCTATCTAACTTACCCTGCCCAAGAAGAAAGCACCAGGCCGTGACGGCCTAGACTATAGCATCCTCAAGGTCGCCTACAAATCACATCCCATCTCCTTTCTTCACTTCTGCAACACCCTACTGAAACATGAGCTCTTCCCAAGCGCCTTTAAAACTGGTCATGTAGTCTTTTTCACTAAAAAGAACAAAGATCATCAAAACCCAAGCTCTCTATGACCGATCTGCCTGTTGCCGGCTCTAGGGAAAGTCTACGAAAAACTAATAGTACAAAGACTCATCTTTCATCTGCTAGACAACCGCATCCTAAGCAGTAGGCAGTTCGGCTTCCGCTCTGGCCTCTCCACACTGCATGCTCTGGAGGAAGTTCGACGGATAATCCACCACAACAAAGAACAACAGCTTCACATGGCCTTTGTCTCAGTTGACCTTCAGAGTGCCTTTGACAGCTCTGGTGGCCTGCCTTTAAACAAGCTCTCCGCTCATCTCGATGCCCCCGTAACATCTATGGCATATTTGACAGTTACCTCCAGAATCGTTTCCTCCTGGTCCCACACAACAACGGGACAACCATCAAACATGCGACATGCGACAGAGGACGTGGGCACCAACCCTCTACCAATACGGTTAATCGGTATAGCGCCACGTCCACCTTTATCTAGATAACCATACGTATTCATTGTGCTAATATACTAATACATAAACATACATACAAATTTGGTACTTCATACAATGGCGTTAAAGCTAATTAATGTTAAACACTGGATAATACATTGCCATGTTACAAGGTGTATGCAAAAGCATGGATACGATAGCATATATACATAATGTGTACTCATATGTTGAGTACACTATGATCCTTTGAAGCATTATCATTAGATTACAGAAGACATGTACATACTGAAATATTAGGTGCGCAATGTTATGCTGGAATAAGTAATTAGTACAGTGAATTAAAAGTTAGTCCCTAGATTAGTACTGTGTGGTACAATGTCTTGCTACTGAATTATTTGTACTGTTTCCTAAGTACATTAACCAATGTACAAAGATATTAAAACACGTGTATTAGGTACACAGTAATTAGTGGATACCCAAGCGTTAGGTAAGTGCTACTTTAACATACATTAACAATAGGTACTTAATGCAATGCTGAACAGATAATTGGTGCAATTAATTTTAGAGTGGGGCTCTAGTTAGTTCTTTGAGATACGGTGCCGTGTTACAGGATAAAATGTGCAGATGCGTAGTTACATTATCATATATACGGAACATAAATTCATATACATATATACAGACATTTTGTGTACAGACACATTAGGTACAGGATTATTCAGTGCGTAATAGATGTATATTAACTATACAGTGCCAAGATATGTGATGACACTAGTAGATACATGTGTACAATTACATATAAACAATGACATACACAATTGCATATAGACAAAAGCGTATATACGCTTATATTTGGTACATAGTAGTCATTGGTGACATAAACATTTGATACTTACTTCATATACTTAAACTCTAGATCCATAAAATAATGTTATAACTAGTAATAGGTGCTTATTAATTTCATAATAGGACACTAGGTTGATATTTTGCCTTACTGTGTCACGTTATGTTGAAATGTATGCGGGTGCAGGGGTACAGCTTCTTATGTACAATGCTACACCTATTTACAATGCTTATATCATTCCATTTCATAATCAATAGGTACATGGCACATTTATATACATGAGCAGATGGTACATTGTAGAGTGCCGTTGAGGATAATTGATGCAATTAATTTTATAGTATTTTAAAAATAATGCATTTATACGCAATTATAAGGTGCATAATTATCATTGGGTACATATACATTAGGCGCATATACATATACATATTCATATATTAGTTTCTTAATACTATACTAGGGCAAGTAATTGGTGCTGTTATTTTTTCTTGTAACATGATGCTGTAGGCGATTGGATGGATAAACTAATATATATACTAATATACATATACACAACTTTTAGGCACATAATAATCACTAGATTCTCAGACATTAAGTACATGGTATACATATATAAACAGATGGTTCATAATACAGTGCTATAGAAAGTAATAAATGCAGTTAATTTTATAGTAAGATTCTAGTTTAACTATGCGAAACGGCTTCATATTAAACAGTGTTAAATACTGACGCATGAATACAGTAATATTTCTACTTATTAATACTATATATATAAAAATATACAAATATTAGGTGCATAATTAACATAGGATACATAATTATTCGATGCACTATACATATACGTACATAATACATAAGATTAGTACAATGCTGGAACAATTCATTGGTGCTGTTAGTTTTAGTGTAAGATCCTAGTTTAACGCTGTGTGGTACAGTGCCATGCTACAGGATGATATGCGCGGAGCCATGGATTCAGTTATATACATACTAAAACACGTATACACAATTATTAGGCACGCAGTAATCATTGGATTTATAAGCATTATATACATGGTACATATACAGACGATACATAATATATAAAACAAATATATATATATATATATATATAATAATGCTATAGAAGTTAGTTAATGCAATGGATATTTTAGAATTAAGACTTTAGATTAACACTATGCGGTAAAGTGTCATGTTGCGTGATGTTATATTCGGATGCATGGTTACATTATCATACATACGAGGATATATATACATAGTATAGTAATCATTGGGCTCACAATCTTAATGCACATAGTACCTTAGTCTCGTAGACTTGAAAGTAGGTAATAAGGTTCAATTGGTGCTATTAATTTGATGATGCTAAATAATATTAATACAATAATGCAGCTATGATTAATACAGTTAATGATCAATACAGTAACATTTATACTAGAACATATATATACAAATACAAGGCGCATAATTGCATTGAGTATAGAAGCATTGGGTGCATTATACATATACATACATAAATCATGACTACATGGTGATGGTACTTAAGATACAATTATAAACAGGTACAGATGGTCCTTATTTACATAGGCGGTACAGATAATAGACATAATTCGTTTGGTTGGCATAATGCAAATTGATTAAATAGTTGATTCTTGCTATATTACTAGGAGTGTTGGATACTCCTTACGATAATTCACAGTTATTTTGTGGTGTTGGTAGTTGGTGCTAGACACTGAATTACTATTCGTCTATATGGCTGACTAAGTATGGCACAGGTCTGTGACAAGGTCGGTCAGTTTATCCATTAAAAAGCCCTATTTTTCTAACCAAGTGTCTCTGTTTTATCAAAAACTTACAGAAAGCTTGTCTATTGGTCGACGGAAGGTTGATGTGTAGCCCTTCTGTAAGGGGACAGGAGGTCAGATAATGCTCCGGAGAGCCAGTCTGTCCACAGGCGCACTGGATAGTGTTACTTATACCGCGTTTGTTAAAGTACTCGAGAAATGGTCCGTCACCCGTAATGTATCTTATCAATTGGGCATGTTTGCAAAACTTTTGGTAGTGTCCACGTAGCTGACATGGTAATAAGTCCGTCGGCCGGTATCGCTGTTATCCCATGTCTGCTGCCATTTCCCGATTGCCTTTAAGCCCAATGTTCTTTTCAGGTAAGACACTGGCCATGGGATGTTGATTTGTTGAGATTTTGCTCCTGTGGCAGCTTCTTTGGCTAGATAGTCAGCCAACTCATTGCCGTAGTGGCCGGCATGCGCTTTGATCCATTCAAGTCTTGTGTGGAGTTGGGAATTTTTTCGCAGATCTTCCTGTATTCCCTGAATAATATCGGATGGGTGGTCAGGGTTTCCTATTGCGTATAGTCTTTATTCTAGCGCCCATGTTTTCGTCTATCTTCGACCCGTCAGTGAAGATAGTAATCTGTGCTGGACGGTGGGCCGTAGTTGGATTGGTAATTATGCTTATTCCGGGGCCTTTGTCTGCTGGATGTATTTTCAGAGGGCAGCATTTAGCTTCATAGTCCTCTTGGATTAAAATATTCTTCGTCAAAGGTGACAGGTCTTTTTAAGCTGCAGAACGAATTTGTCTTGCTTGCCTCCTCTTCGACACGGATGTGTAGGGGAAGGAGGCCAGCCAGCACGTTGATCGCATCTGAAGACGTCGTGCGGTAGGCTCTGGTGATACCCAATGCAAAGGGTCTTTGAATGGTAGAAAGGTGTTTAATTTTCCTGCTTTGCATTGGGTGAGCCCATACTGCTGCTCCATAAGTGACTATCTTTTCCACCACTGTGGTGAAGAGGACCTTCTGAATATGAGGTTGAGGCCCCATTTGTGGCCATGAAATAATC